TAGTGCACTGTATGCATAGAATTGAGGCCGTCTTAGCTTGTAGGATTTTTTTACCTACATGTAGAATAAAAGGGGCATTTTGAAAATGACCCCTTTATTTTCAAAATGTAAAAAACAAAATTCAACCATAGTAATATAATAGTATAATAATACTAGACAAACAAAATCCTAATAGAACTTCCGTTTATGGATGTAACGTCTTGGACCCTAAAAAAGTTAACCGTATACCACATATATTACGTATACACTTGACTGACCTTCAACCCCCCCCCCCCCCCCCCCTCCACCCAATAACTTTCTATCCTACCTTGGAGCTTCTATATATTGTGTCTTTCATGACTGAGGACTGAATTAAGAAGCTCTGATCTTTTAAACATTTAGTTAATTACTATATATAGGAGTGTTTACAATGGAGAATTAAGAAACCTTGAGAGTGCCTTGTTGATGATGATTCTATCTGTTTGTTGGTGCTATGCTAAGGAAATTGAAGTTTCAAGGTAGTTTTATTCATATGAATTGAAGCACAATTAGATGAGATTAATTCCAATTTTATGCTTAAATGTACTCTTGAGGCTATGAAGTGCTTTAGAATGAGCCCTAGGTTACAAATAAAAATGAAGACTTTTTTTTTGAAGAATGAAAAACAAAGTTAAAGCTTTTACCATCCATCTAAAGGGGGAGAAAATCAAGAACGAAATATTTCTAAATCTGTCTCTTTTAATTTCTTGTCGGTTAAATCTTTACTATATATGGTTAATTGAATGTTTGTATTTTCGAAATTTTTTAAACAATTTTAAAACACCGCGCGGATATTTGAAGTGTATTTCTTATTTAGAGTATTTACTGTCTTATCTGATCTTCGATTCCCATATTATAAATTACTCGGAGTGTTTGCGATTGCTTCTACTTTTAAAAAGTGATGTTTTAAAGTGATTTTGGAGAAAGTACTTAATAGTAAAAGTTGGTAATATTTGAGAAAAAAGTGATTCTGAAAAAGTAAAAGTTGGTAGTGTTTGGTAAAATAAGTGCTTTTTAAGTAATAGAAAAAGTGAAAAGCAGTTTAAAGCACCCTTCCACCTACTTCCAGCTTTTAGCTTTAAAGTGATTAATTTAAGCAGAAGCTGTCATTTGAAAACACTCTTTTCAGCTTTTTTTAATCCAAAAGCTCAAAAGCACTTTTTTTAAGGAAGTGCAAACACTCCTTAAGTGTTGAGTATTTGGAAAATTGTGTTGCACCAAAAAATAAAAGCTTAATCCTTTGTAGTATTTTCAATAAGTAAACATGTTGTTTGATAAAATGATAGTTAAGCCCTAGCGTTTTTGGATGGAACTACTCAAATATGGCACTACCTACTAATCGCTACGGCCAAACAACTAAATTATCAAACATCTTTCAAACCCGACAACTTATTCCTCCAGTCAAATATGTTGACTCAATCCACTATTAACAACCTGATACATAATCTGCTATCCGTTAACCGCCCGCTATCTGCTAAATGTCAACCACACTCTTTATAAATTTAGTTTTACTTTTTTCAATTAATTTTTGTCAAGGTTTTTTAATTGCTTCCCACTCTTTCTTCCGTTTCAAAAAATAATTGTATAAAAATAATCAGTTTTTTAAAATTCCTCCCTTTTTCATGATTTTTTCCTTGTCCATCTCCTACTTTTCATATAGTATTCCACAAACCTATAATTTATTTTTCTCTGTGAAAAGCCTAATCCAGAAAGTAAAAATAAACGAGAGTAAAAGTTGTTTGAAGAACATTCCTTGGAGATTAGTTTGCTTTAGAGCTTAGGCCTCTATAATTTGTTAGTTTTTCCGAAGAGTGTTTCATTGTGTGGTAGCAATTTTTATTTTTTTAGCTCTTCAAAATATTTTATTTCTTCTATCCTTTATTAATTGAAATACTTAAATACAACATACAATTTACTAATCCATCTTTTTGCAAATAATTCTATCAAATGAATGAAGTGGATCTTGACTTAGCTTAAACATAGTATACACTTGTGGGCTAGCGATATATATTTATTAAGCCCGTGGATAATGTATACATTATTGCGAAATTTACAATATGTAGTAGTCACTACAAAAAAACAACCATTTTGGCACGGATTAGGCACGGAGCTTTGGCACGGATTTGCCAAAATTCATAAGGTATTTGGCACGGATTTGACACGGATGTCGGATGTGTCAAATCCGTGCCAAATTCCGTGCCAAAGTCGTTTTGTTACCAGCTATTTGGCACAACGTTGTGCCAAAATTAAGTTACGGTCCGTGCCAAAGTCACCCCATCCGTGCCAAGTCCGTGCCTATTTCGATGTTTTTTTGTAGTGAGTTATTATTAAAATTTATAATTCAATCTCAAGGCCGAGGTCAATTCGACAGAAGTCACACAACTTAATATGTTCTTACAAAGATTGTTTCTTGTTGGATAAGACCAATTTTATAGTTCTTATGCTCATCATTGAGGCATAATTATATCAAGATGTAATAGCTAACTCACTCTAAGATATGATGGTCGACCATCTTTGAAAGGTCAGATGAGTAATCAAAAACATTTATATGCTAATTTGTACCTTTATAGCTTTATACGTGATTGGGATGAGATAGCTTAGCACTTACCACCACCCCATAAAAGATGAATTTGTAACTCCTTTTATTAATTCATTAGAACTAATATGCTTCTTGCGAGTGTAATATGCACATGTGGGTGGTATTCTCAATAGACAAATTGAATTTTAATATTAAAAACTAATCAAAATTTATTGATTTTTAGTAGACGAGTCATAATTCTAAGAAAATTAATAATGTTCATTGGAGTACACACACACATCAATACAAGCTCGTTTCCATCTTACTCGTCAAACTTTCTCTCGATAGTTTTATAACATTAGTTTTGCTTCTTTTTATTCCGAATGATATGATCCTACACAATAAAGTCTATCTACGCATCAAATATAACTCCACCTACATACCCGGACAACGTTAAACTATAATATATAACACATGGAAAATATATTTCACACCTTTACAAACACATTGATACATCATGTCCAATATTTTTTTGACAACTCAAGGCCAGTTATTTAATATCGTTACTTTAGTTTTAATAGAGTTAATTCAAAAAGTATGAATAAAACATTGTAAAAGTGAAAGAATGTGAGATACAAATTTCGTAGGAGTATAAAATGGGATAAGTTGGCTAGCTAGATGTCTTTATTGTACAATTCCCACCTCCTTAGAGACACCACCATTGGCCTTTTGCCACCCCCCTGCCAGATCTTCAACCGATGATCACCCCAAAAAGTTATCGGACCTTCGGTTGCTGTCAGAGTAGGTGAACAATTTAATTTCATGTCATCCAACAAACACTTAGCTATCAACAACAGTCGTTGGACACCCGTTGGAACTTCGGCCCTGCCGAGAAGCCACCATTAAACCCTAGGAAAATGATGTTTGTACCCACTTTTATACTCACTTTTGTACCCACCCATGTTTGTGAAGTTATTTTTTTTTTTGTCTGTGAATTCCTTCACAGACAAACTATGTCTGTAAAGGAATTCAAAGACATATTTTGTCTGTGAACCGGCTTCACAGACAAAAAAATAGCCTTCACAGAGGTGGGTATAATGTGGGTACAAAGTGGTGGGTACAACAAGAGGTGAATCCTAGAGAGGTGAATAAAGTGATTAGTAAAGGGATTAGTAAAGCGCAAAATACTAATGCTAAACAAGAGGAAATAGATAAAATAATTAATAATTGTAACTTCTATGTTGAGAATCTAAAACATTACTCCTATTTTGACACTTTTTTAACGAATGAAATTTATTGAAATAAAGCAAAACGACTACACGAGAAAAAGAAAATTAAAGGTAACAAGTAAAAGCAAAACGAACAAAATATAGAAACACCCAACCCAAACCCTAACAAGAAATCCCTTAAATTTCTAGATAATCCCGAGCACTTGGTCAAACTTCAAAGCTCTAGCCTGTTCATACTTGAAATCTAGTTTTTCATAAGATGCTCCTTTTTTGACACTGCTTTATTTGTATATAGGGCATCTGGATTTTTTAACATGGTGAGAAATATTCCATAAATTGGACTATAAAACATCACTTTTCTTGAAACTGTAATGTGCATTAGGTAAAATTGAAATGTGCATCACAAAAGGTACGATAGAGTGGCATTATGTGCAGTTGAATTGTGCATTACGTGAAATTGAAATGTGCACTAGGTGAAGCTGAAATGTGCAGAATAAAAAGTACGATGTGATGTTATTTTTGTCCTTTTTTTCGCACATATCAGTTTCATCTAATGCACACTTGAGTTTAAATTTTTATTTTGCACATTTCAATATCATTTAATGCACATTTCAGTTTCACCAAATGCACAATTTGATTCCACATAATACAATCCAACGGTCCAGATTCGTTCTCATTTTTCTCATAAGATCTGTTCTTACCGGAACCGCTCCCTATATATATATATATATATATATATATATATATATATATATATATATATATATATATATATATATATATATATATATATATATACAGGGGTGAGATCACATACTAACCATTCCTCCCATGCTAACCTACAAACTATCAAAAACGGTGCATCTTTACATTATTTGTACTGCATGTTGAAGTTCAAAGTATTGCATATTATTTGTACTGCATATTAAAGTTCAAAGTTTTGCATATTGTTTTTATTGCATATTGAAATTCACAGTGTGCATCTTTACATTATTTGTACTGCATATTGAAGTTCAATGTGTTGCATATTATTAAGTTAGTAAGTTAGTATTTTAAGCATGGTTAGTATGTGATCTCTTATCTATATATATGTGTGTGTGTGTGTGTGTGTGTGTGTGTGTGTGTGTGTGTGTGTGCGCAATTGATATTCTATGATCCCGAGCAAATGCAGTGATGTCCATTGACAACCAAGAGGGCATTGTGAGGCAAGGAATGCAGAACGGAGCTATTTCATTCATCGAAAAACCGGTGTCGGAGAATGCCCTTACATGTTTGTGGCAATTTCTTATAGCTCAGAAAAAGGGTGATGTTAGGTGTAGTGCTATGGGGCTGCATGTAGAAAGGCCTCCTAGTCCACTTGCCGCCACCGCTGCCACCGCAGATTTTGCAGCTTATTGGAACCCCGTGGAAGAGATGACCATCACAACGAATCTCTTTTGTGAAACCAAGACAGGGAAGAAGAAGCTGGTGTGGACGGATCTTCTTCATTTCAAGTTCTTGGATGCCATCACCTCTCTAGGGATTCATAGTAAGTCACTTGACTAAAATATGGAAATAGGTTTAAATAGTACTAGTATGTTTAATTCATAAAATAAGGCTTATTTAGTCCATTAAAGAATAAAAGAATAAATATTTGCATAAATATAAGTGTGTGTGTGTATTGTAAAGAAGACAATGTAACTTGTATTTGAGAAATTTTACAATGTTTTACTCTTTAAGATTTTTTTTGAAATCTTTCATATATCTCTGTTCCACATAACATGCCAATTCTGATTTGCACATAAAATAACAAATAAGTAACAATTGTATGGTTAAAATTTGTGTAAAGTTAGAGAAATAACATTGATCACAAAATCGTTACTTTAAAAAGATTTCACATTTTAAAAAGGGGAAAATAACTTTAAATAATACCAACTATTACCCATAAACCAATAATAATACATACTTTGAAAATGATTTCTAATAATACCAACTATTTGAGTATAGACCAAAAATAACACGGAATCACTTTTTGATAAGAAATTTGGTCATTTAGGACATCAAAAACAAATAGCAAATTATCAAATAAATTATATTTGGAAATACATTCACTTATTTGATATTTTGATACTAGTTTTTGATGGATTAAATAACTAAATTTTCATTGAAAATTTGCTCTATATCAATTTTGGTCTATATTTAAATAGTTGATATTATTAAAAGTAATTTCTAAAGTACGTATTATTCTTGGTTGATAAAAGATAGTTTGTATTATTTAAAGTTATTTCCCCTTTAAAAAAATAGACTGAATAAAAAAAGTTGGCAAAATATATTGGGATAAAGGAAGTGCTACATTTGGGTGAAATTTATAATTCATATATGTAGTACATCATGGAAGTATTTTTAATAAAGAACATGTTCATTAATTATCATATTCAAATAACTTTGTATTTGAATAATATTAGTGGTTAAACTTGATTACTATATACACAAATAAAGTAATAGGAGGAAGTTTTATGGATGGAAGTAGTATAATATTGGCAAGTCTATATGAATTATGTATTTTTTATGTTTAACTAATGTACCCAAAACAAAATTTTCTTACGCGTTCGTGCAGATGCGGTACCCAAGAATATTTTGAAACTCATGAATGTGCCAGGATTAACCAGGGAGAATGTTGCAAGTCATTTGCAGGTTCATTTCCAATTACTGATAGATCGAATTAGAGATGGCAATTGTGACCAATCCAATGGATACCCGCACCGAACCGCCCCGGTCAAAACGGGAAATACCGCATTGACTGGGTAACGGGTACGGGGCGGGGAATACCCGTTTTGTTTTTACGGGTAACGGGGTGGTTACGGTTTTATACATGTCCGCTCCATTACCTGCCCCGTTTATTTTTAGTTATATTTTTATTACATTTTTATCTATTATTTGTCCCACAAGTAATAGAAGATGAGATTTTTCTATTTTCATTGTATATATGGATAATAGATGTACTAACTATAATGTTTCAATGAGGGTTCATAATAGCTCTTAATAGTCTTGTTTAATTATTATCAGATTTTTTAGTGATTAATTATTTTTCAGATTAAGTATTTTTAGGTTCAAATTAATTTATGTTGTCTTCTTTCTCGTTTTGTAGATATACGAAACTTAAAAGTGGCGTCTGAGTCTAAACTCATATAGGTTATGTCATTTTTCGCCCTTTAAAATACAAAATATTATTTTTATATTAAAATATCAATGACTGATATAATAAAGTGATTACCCGCGGGTACCCGCGGTTATACCCGTTACCCGTTGGGGCAAATATGGTTTGGGTAAAACTTACCCGTTGGGTAATGGGGCGGTTATGGGGCGTGGAATTGTCAAATGGGGCGGGTACGGTTATGTGTAAAACCGTCCCCGAACCGCCCCGTTGCCATCCCTAGATCGAATTGCACTATATTTAATTATTAATATATATACCCCTTATCATGATTATGCTTAAAATTTACATTGTATAAAATAATGGATCCTATTGTATATGGCACTGAGAGAGGGTTAGACAAGGGATACACAATAACTAAGGTTAATAAAATTACAATTATAAAAAAAAAGAAGGTGTAATGAGTAATTAATTAAGTTTCAATGCAAACCTTAAATACAAGTAGTTCATGTGTTCGGGCTCCTATGTCTAACTAGTTCATGTGTTTTGTTCGGTCCTCCACAACCCTTAAATATGATTTTTCATGTTTACTTGTATGTCCTAACTCTAAGTACAATAAAGTATAATTTTTGTAGCATATGCAAAATGTCGTAATAATAGGTGTCAAAAATGTCAAAATGTCACAGTGAATTAAATGTAGCACTTTTTAGTATACTATATCCGACTGGTGTTACCATAGATGTATCGTAGCAATTTATCATTTTATTGTAGCATTTCTTGGTACAATGATGTTACAATAGATATTATATTGTAGCAATTTTTACGGTACTACAAAATGAATGCTACAATAGACACTTTTTGTACTAGTGTCTATTATTTCCTCCTAGGTAATACGGTATTTGTTGATGAAAACTACGTAATATAAGAATATAATATACATAAATAAGATTTGAAGTAAATCCTAATATATAAATAAAATTGATTAAGTATGATGGACAAAAAATGATTTAATAACGTTTTGTAACTATAACTGTTGAGGAAAATATTTGTTGTGATCAAGTTTGTCTAGAGTCTTGTTGTCCCACTTAGATTAGACTTATCTTTTTAGTATTTATGTAAAGAATAAATGAGCTAAGGGAATAGGGCCCAAAAAGGCCTTAGGCCCAGAACTCTAGGTTACCATTTCGGTACCTGTACCTATGCCTATAAATATGCGTACATGTGGTACAGGACTGAATAATCGAGAATAAGAAATATACAGCGCCTTTCATTCAGAACATTCAATATATAGTTCTCGATAGTATAGCGTAAGGATTTCTTCTGTTCAGATTATCTCTCGATCATTATTAAGAATCCTTCTCTATATTATTGTAGATCGTTCATAGCTGTTCATTCATCCTGAAATTTGGGACCAACAACTGGTATCAGAGCCGATCGAGTACTGATCTGCATCGACGAAAAACTGCGAAAAATACTCTGTTTCATGTTTCTCGATGTTTATTAAATCTGCCTTTGTAAATCTGTTTCTGGACAATTTTGTGTAAAAGTTATACTGTTGGATTCGTCTTTCAAAAACGAACCAGGAGTATATCTTCATTCTCGATACTTGTAGTTTTTTTATTTGAAGTTCTCGATATCTTCATATCGAAAAACAGGTTCTCGACACCTTTAAGCAGGTTTTTGAAGATTGATCAATACAGGAAGCTTCTCGACATCGAAAACAACTCAGCTGCAGTCTTCGTTTTAAAAATTCTGAAAATTTTTAAGTACAGGATTTCGATAGGATGATCTCGACATTGAGCTCGAGAACTTAGTTTTCGATACTAGCTTCTCGCATTAGTAGTTCTTGATATTTGTCCTTTGAAATATTTGTTTTCGATATTGCAGGTTCTCGACGTCGGTTCTCGAAACTCAAACTCGAAAAGTCAGTTCTCGAACTGAACTTCTCGAAGTTAGACTTCTCGATATCGACTTTTCGAACTCTTATATCGAAAACGAACTTTTCGAAGTTTGATATCGAAAACTTACTTCTCGATAATCTTTCTCGAACCCTTAGCCAGACTAGTAGCCAAAGGCTACTGCCAAGAAGAAGGTATAGATTTTGATGAAACTTTTGCGCACAATATACACAATACACTACACACGCATAGTTGCACACAAAGCCAAAAAGAGAATAGTACATGAAGGCCTAAAGTATGGGTTCGCATACTGTGAAGATCAACCTTGCAAATGGATCCTATTGCAGCTCTAAGAAGATAAACTGCTCCAACACAAGAAGACGAAAGTACAATACTTTCAACGGCAAAGATTAAATCCTCTCAACCAACGGAGGAGATTAATCAACTGGAGATGCCTATAAATACAGGCATAAGCATGAGTTGAATATAGAGCTTTTGATACAAATCAGGCGTGTAAGGTACCTGCGGATAGCTCTCAAGATAAGGAATCCGTCAAAGTCTGGTTTGCATCAAACGGAGTAGTGGAAGGCTTCCAAATCGTCCGAACAAAACACAAACGCGCAGGGACGGATTTACTTCTCTAAAGTGAGTTATAATCCCAAAACCTTTCACTTCATTTACCAAATTATATGAACGATTGGTGGAACTATTATACACTATTTCAAGTGTATAATATGTCCATGTAATTTCATTTTATTTATGTAAAGGTTAGATACTAACCTAGAACAAACATTGGAAAAAACTAGGAAACGAGTTCGCCGGAAAACACCCATTCTAGGGACTGTTTTCGTATCAACGGTTAGAGGTTGAGTTATCACTTTGAGGAGGCTGTTTAACACTCATTTATAAGCAAGTAAACAGTTATTAATCCACCTTGACCGAAGCTTTGACCATTGAATCAAGAAGGAAAAGTTTAAAGCTCAATTAAGGTGAGAACCGACATCTAGTTGCTTACAACTTGTAGGTTGTGCATGAGATTACCTAAATGCTTAAATCATGTTTTTTCATGAATAAAGATGCTTGAAGATGATATGAAGAATAAGTAATGAACTTGATTATGATTTGGAATTATATTAATGAATAAGGAGTTAAGTGAAGTATAAATGTGCTATTATGCCAAATAGCCATTTCTACTCGTGTATGCATGATATGCCTATGTAAACGAATACGTGAATGATGAAATTGAAGACATGGGGAGGCTGCCACATATTATTAATATGTAGGGGCTCCCATATGTGAATAAATATTTGGTAAGAATAATCTTAATAGTAATGAAATACTAGTTAAGGATTGTCCGAATTGTTGATAGAATCAAACCTAGGGTTTGCATAGTATTGTGATGAACTTGATGGACTTCAAGTGTCATTTGTGTCTTAGTTTGAACTAAGGTTAAGTTGGGGGCAGTCCATAGGATGTCCCACGATAGCTTTATGTATGACAATTCTAGGCATAGTGAGTGCTTAGGTATTGGGGTCTATGCCAATGTAAGGAGATGCACTTGAGCCCGAGCTCTAGAATTGCATTAGGTAGACATAAGATTTAGGTTCAGCCCATGTAAGGAGATGCACTTGATCCCGAGCTCTAGAATTGCATGGGTGGACGTGATGTCGGAGATCGATGATGTGATATAAGGTTTGGAACCTAGGGTCAAATCTATGACAATGTAAGGAGATGCACTTGAGCCCGAGCTCTAGAATTGCATTGGATAGATATAAAGTGGATGCATTAGGGTTGGACCCTATGTATTTGACGTGCACTTTGTCGTGCGTGCACTCAAAATAAATCGATACTAACACTTATACGTAGTATAGGTGAAGTAGAGTTCGTGTCCACAGGGAAAGGAATAACTTTCTTTTTATGTAAATAGTAAATAAAGGGGGGTTTTGATTGTTGAGTGATTTAATTAAATTAAACACGAAGATGAACGAGTTATATGGGATTAAATTCGAGAATAAAAGGGACTTGGTCTTGCTACTTTCCACTTGTTGATATATTTTAGTCGATCATTGTTATATCTATAACTTATCCCCTCTCGAATACTCAATCGCGGAGTATCTCCAATTCATCGAGGGTAGTTATTAACAACGACCGTTCATTAATAACCCTTACTATTTATCAAATATAGAACAACGCCGTATACCGATATAATAGTAGCATTTAACCTCTTTAACTCCTTGATGAAATCAATTAAGATTGATAACCTCAACACAACGGTTTCGGTTTAACCAACAAAATTAATCCCTCTTAAGTTTATTAACCACGACCGTGCACTAATAAACCGAAGTTACTTACTTGTGAAACCATCAACGTTTAACCATCGGTTCGTTGATCGTTTCTAGTAATAATCAATGTCGAAACGTTAACTAATCGTCACTTAGCCACCCTCCAACATTAATATAGAATGAGATTAAGGGAAGAATTAATAATCAAGAGGAGAAAGTAAGAAAATAACTCACAACTTTAATAATCAACAAGCTTCAAGAGCAAAACCAAGAAATGAGAGTTTAGCTCCTCATTTGGAGACTAAACATGCTAAAAGAAATATAGAGAAATGCTATTCTAAACTGAGCTTAAGAGTATAAAGGAATTGGTGTCCAATTGTGAAGGAAAGGAGGTGTATTTATAGGACTTTTTGGGGTGCAGGTCGGGTACTCGATCGAGTATATACAGATACTCGATCGAGTATGTGTAGAATAGTGAATTTTGAGCCATACTCGACCGAAGTCAGGTTGAAAGTTATATGTATACCTGATCGAGTATGTCAGTGTACTCGATCGGGTATGACAATAGAACGTGGCCAAATCTTTCCTTGCATGTTCCTTTGTTTCCGGATCGGATCCTTGAAAATCAGTATTGGTACTCGATCGAGTATAAGACATACTCGACCGAGTACAGGTCAAAATCAGGAACTTTCCTTCTTTTTGTCTTGTACTCTTGCACCTTCCTTCACCAATGATCATTTGATTGATCTTGGACCTGTTTAAGCTCAGAATAAACCTAATCTAAACAATTTACAAGAATTTAACAAACTAAACTTATTACACCAAAAGTGTGTAATTTCCGAAATATTAAACAATCAAAACTAACTAAAAACGTAAACAAACACACGGAAATTACAATCGTATCAACTCCCCCACACAGAGTCCTTTACTCGGCCTCGAGTAAAGTAAAATATTTCAAACAGTTTAAGATCATTACATGAGTTCAAGAAAGAAAGGAACTAAGATCACCAAGAAATAAAAATGATTTTACAAACAACATTCTTTCTTGGGTTTTATGATCTTCTATGCTCCATCTTCTTGCCTCTTCTTCTTCTTCTTCTTCTTCTTCTTCTTCTTCTTCTTCTTCTTCTCTTCTTCTTTTTCTTCTCCTCTTTCTCCCAAGAGATCAAATGAGTTCCTGCACACAACAAATATTTCTCTCATATCTCTCATTTTGCCTAGGAGCCTTTTCAGGTTTTCATCCTAGCATCTCTTTTTGTTTTTCCATCCTCACTAACTCACTCATCTTTTTTATAAGCCATTTTTGCTTAGATTGCCCATTCTTGGGTTTTCAACCTAACTAGCATTTCTTTTCTTTTATTATTATTATTATTTTTTTTTTGTTTACAAAGAGTAAAAGAAAAATCCATGCATAGGAAAGGGTAAAATAAAATTACATACCATGAGGTGTCTCCCCCCTTCTCAGTCCAAGCACTGTCCCTAGTGCCCGCCTTCTCCGCCGTAGAAGCCGCCTCCAAATCCGCCTCCAAAGCTCCCGTCGCCCATGTGAGCATCCCCGCCGTCCCCGCCGTCATAACCTCCACCCCCGGAGCTAGATCCTCCAAAGTTGCCCCATTGAGTGGGGTCATACCAAGAGGGGGGTGGTGGTGGTTGAGCCATGGTGTGGAATTGGCCTTGATGAGCCATGTAAGAATACATAGGTCCATAGAACCTACGTTGATCTTCTTCATACCTTCGGTTGTCTTCGGCCCGTTGCTCCTCGAGTCTTTGAAATCCCGCCCTTTGTTCCTCCCGATATCTCCCAACTTCATTGGTAACTTTGTTGAACCCTTCAAGGAGTTGTTGGAAGTAATCGGGGGGTGGGAAAGCTTGGTTCTGTTCGGGCATGTGGTGAAGTGCATCCTCGGGTTCTTGTTGCTCGGGTTGAGGTTCTTGGTCGGGTGGATTTTCGGGGAGGTCTTGGGCTTGAGGTTCTTGAAAATGTGGTGGGAGGGCGTGAGGGAATAGGTATTGAGGCACCTCGAACTCTGGTTTGTAGCGTAGTTTGGGGGTGTCTGGGCTTGGCATTAGGAAATATTGGACAGGTTGGAGGTGTATGATCCAATTGTACATGTTTTTTGGTTGGTCTCCAATATAAACCGTATGGGAAAACGATGTACATCCCGAGCGTCCTAACCAACCCATATCCATCAAGCAATAGTCGGGTATAGGAGAGTTATCCGTATACCCGAACCTACTCGCCAAGTGCATTATCACTCCACCCACAACTATGGCCCCTTTTGCTAAGCTTTCTTTTTTCATATGTGCCCACATGAGATTGCACAGATTAAA